AGTAATGAGGAGCCCAATATTAATCACCAAGAATATGGGGAAAATGTCTCTAGCGCATGTCAGAGACCTTCACGGTGGCCCCTTCCATCACAGGCCTAGAGGCCTAGGAGCAAAAAATGGTTTCCTGGGCCAGGCCCAGAGCACCTCTGCAGCGTGCAGTCTAGGGACCTGATGCCCTGTATTCTAGCCACTCCAGCTGTGGCTAAAAGGGGCCAAGGTACAGCTTGGGCTGTGGCTTTAGAGGGTGCAAGCCTCAAGCTGTGGTAGCTTCCATGTGGTGTCAAGCCTGCAGGTGCACAAACGTCAAAAATTGCAGTTTGGGAACCTAGGCTTACCTTTCGGAGGATGTGTGGAAATACCTGGATGCCGGGCAGAGGTGTGCTGCAGAGGTAGAGCCCTCCTGGAGAACCTATGCTAGGTCAGTGTAGAAGGAAAATTTAACATGGGAGTCCCCATACAGAGTCCCCACTGGGGGGCTGCCTAGTAGAGCTTGAGAAGAGGGCCACCATCCTCCAGACCCCAAAATGGTAGATACACTGACAGCTTGCACTGTGCACCTGGAAAAGTCACAGACAACGCAAGCCCGAGAAAGTAGCCAGGAGTGGGGCTATACCCTGCAAAGCCACAGGGGCAGCTCTGCCCAAGACCATGGGAACCCACCTCTTGCATCAATGTGACCTGGATGTAAGACATGGAGTCAAAGGAGATCATTTTGGAGCTTTAAGATTTGATTGCCTCACTATATTTCAGACTTGCATGGGCATTGTAGCCCTTTTGTTTTGGCCAACTTCTTCTATTTGGAACAAGTATATTTACTCAATGCCAGTAGCTCCATTGTATCTAGGAAGTAAGTAACTTTCTTTTGATTTTACAGGCTCGCAGGTGGAAGGGATTTGCCTTGTCTTGGATGAGACATTGGACTGTGGACTTTTGAGTTATGCTGAAATGAGTTAAGACTTTGCAGGACTGCTGGGAAGGGATGATTGGTTTTGAAACGTGAGGACATGATATTTGGGAGGGGCTGGGGTGGAATAATATGGTTTGGCTCTGCCCCCACTCAAATCTCATCTTGAATTGTAGGTTCCGTAATTCTCACATGTCATGGGAGGGACCTGGTGGGAGGTAATTGAATCATGGGGGTGGGTCTTCCACAGGCTGTTCACGTGATAGTGAATAAGTCTCATGAGAGCTGATGGTTTTATAAAGAGGAGTTCCCCTGCACACGTTCTCTTTTGCTTGCTGCCTTGTAAGACCTCCCCTGCTCTTCCAACATGATTGTGAGGTCTCTCCAGCCATGTGGAACTGTGAGTCAATTAAACCTCTTTCCTTTATAAATTACCCAATATCAGGTATGTCTTTATCAGCAGTGTGAGAACAGACTAATACACCAAGGCTTTAACTGAAATGGTGTGTTTTTCTTTGAGGAATCATTTAATTCATAGAGCCAATAAAAGACCCTTGGGAAAACTGGCCTCATACCTTGTCTATACAGTTCCTGTACAGGGTTCCTGACCTGTGGTAAGTAACAAAATGTCACTTTGTGACAGGTCCAGGAGCCCCAAGTTATCTTGGGACCTCAAAAGGAGAGGAATTTACCCAACTCCTAGGTCCTTGAGGGTACAAACGCATGGCAGGGCTCAGCTTTTAAGAAGTCTTACCTAAGATTCCTTTCATGGAACAGAGTTCCATCAAAGCCAATTTAAAAACAGCTTATGTGAAAAATAATTATTCTTGCTACACTTTATACAAATAGGCCAAGTATAATAAAACAAATTGGTCTTACCATTATGTCTTAAGTAAAAATGGAAAACCAGAGAGAGGAAAAAAATTGTTTCAAGAACTGTGGTACACCTGTTATTGAATTCTAGTCTCATCAGTTGTTTTTGAGGTTTTTCCTACAATTTAGACTAACCCTGCTTACTCCTGTGAGCCAACCAGTGATCTCTGGCTGCTACTCAGAAAAAAACAAAAGGGTCGGATAATGTAGAAATCTAGATCAATATTCTAATTCTGGATGCATAGTGGAATCAGCTAGTAACCCCATATCAGGTTGGTTCCATCAGTTGACAAGTTCATGGAAAACCTTCTTATTTAGTTTACTTGGGATAATTTTGCTGATCTTGCTTTACCGTTGTGGAATATGTTGCTGTTGTACTCTTTGTGTAGGAATGCAGAATAAGCTTACTGAATGTCTTCTTAAATACTTATTAATCTTCCAGATATCGCATTCTGTCAGAACTCAAGAATTATAAATGGCCTTTGACATACCGATGATTTCTAACTGAGCTCCTCTCTACCCTGAATGCAAGACATCTAACAATTAGGGAGGAATGTCATCGCTTCTATTCAGCATCAAGAAGTTACAGAAGATTGATCTCCACCCCTCTGTAACCCTTAAGATTAAGGGTTCTTTTAAGGGAGGGGGGAAATGTCAAAGGCGTTTGAACCAGAGCAACTCCATGTTGAATAAGGGCTGGGTAAAATAAGGCTGAGACCTACTGGACTGCATTCCCAGAGAGTTAGGCATTATAATTCACAGGATGAGACAGGAGGTCGGCACAAGGTACAGGTTATAAAGATCTTGCTGATTATACAGGCTGCAGTAAAGAAGCTGGCTAAGACCCACCAAAACCAAAATGGCAATGAGAGTGACCTTGGGTCATCCTGACTGCTACACTCTACACTCTCACTTGCACCATGAGAGTTTACAAGTGCCATGCAATGTCAACAAGTTACCCCTATGTGGTCTAAAAAGGGGAGGCATAAATAATCCACCCCTTGTTTAGCACATAATCAATAAATAACTATAAAAATGGACAACCAGCAGCCCTCGGGGTTGCTCTGTCTATGGAGTAGCCATTCTTTTATTCCTTTACTTTCTTAATAAACTTGCTTTTTCAATTTATGGACTCATCTTGAATTCTTTCTTGTAAGAGATCCAAAAACCCTCTCTTGGGGTCTGAATTGGGACCACTTTCTGGTAACAAATTCTTGTGCTGGATTTCAAAGGAGCATATAGTAGTGGGGCAGATTTTTGGTGCTGTAGTCTCGGATGCAATCCATTAGATGGTGCTTAAGACTAATGGCCATTAATTACATAAGTTAATACCCTGCCATGAGGCTCGTTTGTTCTTCCTCATGTTCCCAGGCATGCTCTGCAGTGGGCAGGGGAGAGACATGGGCTCCTCACTAGGTCTGCTCCTGGGACTTGGGGGAGCCTCCCTCCAATCACTGGTGCTGTGCCCGTGTTTCTTTTGTTAGGTGTTTCAGGCTCTGGGGCCTTCTTGGTCAGGGGCTGCAGGAGGAAGACATGCCTCACTCTCTCTGGATCAACTCTGTGGAGGTAGGCATACCCTGCTCCCCTCCCACCCCAGCCCAGTAACTGGAAGATCCTGCCCCCTCCTACTTGACTTGAGTGCTGGACACAGATCTTGGCTCCCTACTCCCAAAATGCTGCATGAAGCAGCCCTGGGGGCACTGGGACATCCTGTGGACTGGGTTGGCATTCTAGCCTGTACTGGGAGGATCCAGTGTGCTTCCAAGTCACTGGGAACGTACTCAGGTACAGTAACATACTCAGGCTGTGCTGCAGGGGCTGGGCTGTGCACCCACTACAGGGTGGCTATGCGTGACCCTGGGTGGGGCCAGCAGGCAGGAAGCCTTGCAGAATAGATGTGCCCTAGTCCCACAGAGAAGCTGGTTTCACTCTCTCCTAGCTGGAAGATCAGCTAGGGTCCACACCTCCCAGCAAGGGACGAAGAGCCCTCCCCATAGAGCAGCTCTATGGCTGCTCTCTGCTGGAGCTCCCCAGTGCACAAAAACTCTCGGGCTCCATGCTGTCCAACGGCCTGTCTCTGCCTGCTCCCCAGGGAGATGCCCCTAACAGTTCACACATCCATGGGAGACACGGAGTTCTGCAACTAGGATCTAGGATCCCAGAGCCTGGCGGTGGGAGTGAGCCTTCCCTCAGTTCCTCATTCACCCCTTTCCCAAGAGCTATTCGGGGCTGGGAACTAGCCCTGGTATTCAGATACCCAGCACAGGGCTCCCAGCTTCCTCCATCTTCAGCCTTCATTTCAGCATTGCCTCTCCATCCAATCTGAGCATTTTATCTCTGAAGATCTGCCCAGATTATGGTGGTTTACTCTAAAATTTGGTCTCTCTCAGTGGGAGCTGCACTTCCTGGCTGCATCTAGCCAGCCATGTTAACCTTATGTCTCCCTTGATCTTTTTGCTATTAATCACTGCGGTTTGATAATCACTTCATCTCCTGATATACTTGGCAGTCTCACTATTTCAAAGAAGGGTGAAGTTCAACATTGTACTATGTATAATCCGTAAAGTACTCATGGAATCAATTTAAAAATGGCTATATTTAGCTCAAATTTTAGATTCTGCAAAGAAATTTTATATGCAACCATACTGTCTAAAATGCCTTACCAGAACCATAAAAAGAACAAAAAGAAACTACTCTTTCCTCACAAAAAGCAAAGAAATATATGAGTAAGTTCTAGAAATACATGAACTGGCCATTCAATAATCCCTCAATGAGGGTTTAGCAAATCTATGTTTTGAGAAAACAGCTCTGTATTTGTTTACTAGAATTTTAAAATGTAACATATATTTATATACGCATAGATATGTTCTGTCCTCTTAAATAAAAGGACACTCACTTAACCATTAATGCTCTCTACCCTTTATCCCTGCCCCTAAGCTTCCCAATGCAATGTGTTACTTACTCAGCCATTCCATAAATGAACAAAGACCAGGCAATGAAAATCAACCCTTAAGCCTCAGAGTAATATGTGAAAAGGCTGGGCATTTTCACACATATTTAAGAAAAAAAAATACACACATATATATGGTATATATTGATATATACATATATGACTAACTTTTATTATATTACAAGTTAGTTTAAAAACCTTAAGACAAAGTATAGTAGGCTAGGGAGATTCTGCCTTAGGCAATCACATATTGCAGCATTATTTTATTAACAGAAGATCACTCAGGGGAGGGGTATCTACACAATTGGCAAACACTCATTATTCCAGTTTCTTTAGGAAGTTATGTCCTTATTTTAAATATACATTTTAAGTATATTTAAGGTCATATTTATTTGCTTCTAAATCCCTATTTTCTATGAGATCCCGATCTTGCCAAATGGGCTTTTCTCATCATATTTTTCAAAAACATAGACCCCAAGGTTGATGAATAACATGTCAGTATGTCATTAAACAAATTTTTATAGAATTTCAGGCCTTTAACAATATGATTTAATGAAAATAAAGTTTACTGAAATAATAAAATGAAATGCTTAACAATTCTCCCTAGATCCTTAATTCACTATTAAATAACAGTATAATTTTCCCCTTTAGCAATTATTTGAAAACACCAAGCTTGTAAAACTTTAAAAGCTGTTATTAATAGAAAGGATCATTTTTTCACTTATTTGAGCAGCTAAAAAGCAAAAGGTATATTAAATCATATACTTATATTTTATCTTCATTTTGTGCATAATACTAACTACTAACACCCAATTTGGAGGGAAAAAAAAAGCTTTTCAGTTATTTAGGAGTCATTGATATTATCAAACTACTGACGATTATTTAATTTCCAACACAACAAATTGAAGTCATTCAATGGTTCTCAAGTAGTTTGTCACTAACTAAGAATAAATTATAGAAGTGAAGAAGAAGCAGTAGCTACTGGCGAAGAAACCTCAAATTTTTCTTTGACATTGAAAGGAGTTAACCAGCTTGCTTTAGGCGGAAAGTAAGGGAAGGGTCCCCAGCAAATCGCTGACCCATGTTTTGTGCAGATAAGGGAACTTGCACAGGGGGCTTGTCTAAACATGCCCTCAGCAGACTAAGTGCCCACATGCATCCAGGGAGAATGGGGTGGAACCACCAGGAATTCCCACCTTATACAAACAGGGAACCCAGCCCCATCAACTTTTATATAAAAGTCCTTGCATTCAAAACTGGAAGGGAACAACCAGGAACCTCTTTTACAGGACCCCTCTCTTTGCTGAGAACTTTCCTTTTGCTTAATAAATTCTATTCCACTCACTCTCTGGTATCTGCACCCCTAATTTTTCCTGGTTGTGAGACAAGAACCTGGATCTAGCTGAGCTCAAAGAGCAAAAATCCTATATCAACATTACATTTAAAAAATATAATCACTGAACCAAGGAATAGCATTTATGTTCTTGATCTTTTTTTGAAGTTCTCAGACCTTAAGAGACCTAAATTTGATTTACAAAAATTGCTATACAGTCCTAACTCTATTATCACTAATCTCTTACTTAAATTTTAATTGCGTACTATGGTGGCTGACATATTCCCATTAAGTAGCATGAAAACTACGTAAGTGAACATTCTGGTTTACATCAAACAACCTCACTTTATGTCTGCTGACCCACTACAGAAGACAAAGTATATGGTCATCATTATTCCATTACCAGCTTGGGATCTCTCTGACTCTATGCAAGCTTCCTATTTAGGCAAGTAAATAAGAATTTAGGAGCTTGGTGGAAAAGAGAACAATGTTTTTAACAGCTGGATCAATAAGAAGTGGGTCTAATTTACCCACTCCCCATCAGTTCACCTCCCTTTGGCCTGACATGGAAGCTGAAACTATGGTCACTTACTGTATATTTCTGAACATTTCTTCTTGAAAGAAATGTATCGTAATACAGATGCCAGCTCTACTTGATAGACAGATGACCAAAGGCTGATGAACACCAATGCAAACGTAATAAAATCACACTTAAATGCTTGCCTTGTATATATCATAAAAAGATAAATATAGGTAATCATACTCTACTTCTGTGACACCAAAAAATAAACTTTTGCTAATGAAAACCTTCACTAATAACAAAGGGCTTCAGACTCTATGAAATACTTATCAATTTAAAAATGCTATACTGCTGGTTTCATAGTTGAAAGGCAAAAAACTTTCAATGAACCAGTACCTGAGAAGACCACCTATCCTCCCCACTAACTCAAAGGAATCTTCCATATGTGTATAATAGCGAATTCTATCCTCTCAGAAGGCATTAACTTAAGGCTAAGAGTTTGTCCCTAAGGAAAATAATTAATTAGCTGGTAGTCAGTGAGTCAAACCTCTGGTTCTAAAGGAATCTTTTAATTTATATAATGTGAAGTTGAAGTTAAAGATAATGCTGCTTTACATTATTAACTAAACGTGTCTTCATCAATAAACAAAATATTTTGCCCCAATTTTGAGTAACAAGGCAAGTAGTAAGAAAAGTCATACAAATGAATGCTTAAGTACTTAGCAAATCTCTTTAAACAGCATAACCAGCATTTCAAACTAAGACATTTATTCTAAAGAGAAAAATCAAAATTGGGTTTACTCTAAGGAGAAGTTGTTTTTAAATTTTTTTTCTAATTCTCACTTGCTTTTTTCCTTTAGTTTATATTTGGAGAAGAATATCTTTCTCAATTATATGTTGTACTGATCCCCAAATATCCTCTAGTAGCATCAGTAAAGCTACGGTTAGCTATGATATCCTTGGAGAAAATTAACAGCATAAGCAGAAAATCTGTATGTCACACCTCATTTTACACTGTTTAAAAAAGTATCAATTTAAAAAGTTAATTTATATATTATTTAGGTTGAAAAGTTAATGTAGGGAGAATCAACATCCCTTAGTACACACACACACATACACACACACACACACACACACACAGAGAGAGAGAGAGAGAGAGAGAGAGAGAGAGAGAGACTTATCCCTTATACTGATAGAAGATCCACTTTAAAAATGCATTTTGACGGTATTAAGCAATTTCATAGTATTTTTAATGAGTGTCGTCTTTGATCAACCCCAAGGGAGGAAAAAAACACTTGCCTACATCAAACCTCATTCCCTTACTTTCATCTAATATTACAGGATACTTCTATTTTAGCCTACTAGGATGGAGAAAGCTTTCATAAGCACAAACTACCCAAAATAATGCTTCATTTGCCCATGATGGGAAAAAATTACAGTTTTGTTGCAAGGGTCCACATGTTCACAAGACTGGCACAGAGGACACTGTCCGGAAATTTGTTTGTTGTTTTTTAAAGTCAGAAAGGGAGAGCAGCAAGAGGGCAGGCAGGAAAGAGAAAAGATATCGTGGTTCTCTGAACAGACATAAGGGTATCCATGCTTACTACCAGGAGGATTTACCCATGCTACCGTGGCTCCCATGACTCAGTATATGTGTAGGTTAGTAAAGGTCTTATTTTTATAAAGTACATAGATTTTATTAAAATGGAAACTGCATTTCATTTATTAGGTAAACTGATAACAGAATACATAATTAGGCATTCCGTCATATTAGAAGACTATTTTATCAACATTTATGCAGTACTTCATTATTTTAATGTACTTGAACTGTGCATTGGATCTGCCACAGAAAAGCTGGTTTTAATAAAATTTAGAATTGTGTGATGTTGGAATATTACTCACAAAATACACTCAAGTTGTTCAGCCACGCACACTTAGGTAGAAATCTATGCCCAGAAAAGTTCATGGTTAAAAAATAAAGCCTAAATTTTGTGTCAGAGTGCAGAGGCAGGAGATTCTTCAGTAATGAGCTGAAAAGGTAAGATTAAGTTTTGATTTTTTTAACTGCTAATATAAATTAGAGTTAACCATTGCTATTAAAAAAGAGACTAGTAGAACGAGAAGAAAAATGCAACACTTAAAAATACAGGCTATCTCAGAGAAAACATTGTCTGAGTGGTTCTGAAAGCACCCAATAATACAGGCATGGTGACTATTTTATACTATTGCTTTTTGAAGCCCAGAATTTAAATCAATCCAGAAAAGAAATGAAAAAGTGTTACAATTAAGAGAGCAAACTAATCCTATCAAAAGATAGGAAATAACGAGGACTTGTTTTAAGCAATGGCAGGCACAATTACAAATGTGGATGATACAAATGTAGGTTTAGAAATGTTAGTCACCTTAAGGCATTTTTAAAAACATAAATATTTAGATCTCCTTTAAAGAATAGTCATGAATTATATATTTTTCAGCTAATAATTTTGATAAAGAAAAACAGACTCTGTGCCATCTGAAATATAAACTGTCTTAAACAGCAAATGCCATTATCTGATCCTCTAAAGGATTAAAACAAAAAAGTATGTCTCTTCAGATGAATCAAGAAGTAAAAATAAAATCACTTCTTTAAGTTAACTTGAAAGAAAATGATCAAACATTCAAGATTTTCCAATCAAATGCAAATTTTCAGGTATCTTGAAGACTCACATTAATATTGATAGATTTGAAAAATTAAAACAATTATCAACTAGGTGATTTCTGCTTATGACCTTCATTTTCAACTGCTAATTTTTTGCAGTAAGTGCTGCTTTTAACTTGTCTTAATCTTCACAAGTGTTTAATTTCAAATTGAGGAGAAAATGCATTAGCAGTAGTGAATCTCTATTTTAATGTCTGTTTTAAACTCGACTATATTTTGGTGAGCTGTGAACTCATTCATGAAAATAGATAATGGACTTCATAACAAAACACAAACTAATTTGATCTGTAAGTTTAATTACCCTAAATTACCAAACCAAAATGAGCTATCAACATCACCAACATTACTGCCTACGAGGGGCATGACAAAATGAGAAATTTAGTTCTGTCTCCAGGAGGCAGACCCATCTTGTTACTGATTGTGAATGCAACGCTGACAAAACATGGCTAACATTTCTTGGCAAATTTAATATGTGTCTTCAATTTGGCTTAAAATGTTTTACAAGGTGGCCAAGAGAGTCAGCCAGGTGATGGATACAGTATCTGCTGTCTTTCATGTATAAAATTATAAAAAACCTTATTGTAGTTAGACAATTTTGAAGATAAGGCTGTACATTTTAAAATATACATACTGAAATACAATCATTTCATTCCAAATAAGAAAACAAAATATTTTAAATCCACTATAATTTTCTTTGAGGATACAACCATATTTTCAAGGATCACTGCACTGAATGCAAACTACAACTTTTAAGGTACTAAAAAAACAACTAAAAGGGACCAAGTCATAGAAATCACCATAATTTTTTAAATAAAGTAATGCTTTCCTTCAGAGAATCTATTTTACTAATTAATAGCCCATTCAGTCTACGAAACTTCGTTGGTAAATATGTAAATACAAATGTCTTAGCTTACTGGGGTGACAACAGAGAAAGAGTAGAGGAGCTTGGTATGAATGCACCTTTGAATTCAAGGGGGACTACTTACGACTACAGAAATATTAAGAATTGCATGAGAGAAACTGGGGCACTTATTACTCAGGGAGATGAAATATGATCTTTTTTCTGGCTGGCTTAAATCCAGAAAGACTTCAAAAAGAATGATGGCAATTCATGATAAATTTAATACCAAAAAGAGGGATGGAAAATAAGCAATGAACCCAATGTTAGTATCAGTTACATGCTAGTAATGTCAGTCTCAGTACCATTAACTCAGTACCATTAATACATAATTCTGTATTAATTCTGATTAATACAGAAAAATTAAATAATCTGAATACCTCAATACAATGCTAATTTCACTTGTATAATAAAAGCAATGAATCAAAATATGCCATACCTGTAGAAGACAGACACTAAAACCAAGTCTTATGTGGTGAGGTGGCATTGGTTTTACAATCATCCCACATCACAATTCTGAGTAAGTAACCACCATCACTATGAATGGTAAATCCCAAAACCTCAAATGCACATGATTAAGGAATTATGTCAAAATAAAATAATATGAAATCTTTGCAAAATAACTTTATAAGCAAAATGGGTTTTTTTTATTTAAAACAACTAGGAAGATTTAAAAGAATAACCATGCCATGTGAGAGAAACATCTACATATTATAAAGCTTTTAATTATTAAAAAATTGATATATATGTACATAAAAATGAAGAAACAATTAGAAAATACAAATCAATAAAAGACTTACAGTGCACGTTTCTTTCCCTATGCCTAGATGTATGTATATATAAAGTTTTTTTTTTTCTTTTCATAACATTGAGCAAGTACCTGTAGGTTTGCATACAGGTGAGTTTTCATTTACTATTTTATTCATACAAATATTACAATGTTATCAACTACTCTTTTAATGATTTTGATAAATCCATAACATTCATCAAGTGGATAAATCATAACTTATTAACATATATTTCTGTTGTTGTCATTAATAATGTGTCCCATATTTTCCTATCAAACAAACAACACTGAGAATAATACATATTTTTGTGTTTAATTCCTAAGTGAGGATTCCTAGAATTCCTGAGTCAAAGGAAATCTACACTTTGAAGAGTCTTGATATACATTCTCAATCTGATATCCTGGAAAAGTGAATCAACTTCTATTAACACATTCACTTGCTGCATCATCTCAGCAGAAAATATAATTCATTTTTAAGCAGTCCCACTCTTACAGGTAACAAACAATATTTCATTTTTAAAATTAGCATTTTATCAATAATAAGTGGCATATATTTTTTCATGTTTGCTGGCTATAGTTATAAAACTAATCTGTTTCTGACCCTTTAAATAAAGGCCCTATTAATTTCCATACTGACATTTAAGAATGCTTAATAGAGTACACATGTTAGTTTTCTGTCATGTGTTACAACATGTTCTCATCTGTCATTGTTTTTAAAATCATGCTTGTTTTTGCCCTACAAAAATTTCCATTTTATGCAAATATATTTCTCTGTGACAGTATGATTGAGTCTGTTGCCCTTTAACTTTCTGACTAAAAATGTCTTACCCATCCCAATATAAGCTATTTTTTGCCTTTTCCTTTTAGATTTAGTGGTTTTCTTTTCTTTTTCTAAGTTCATTTAGAGTTTATTAGGAAAATTGAAAAAAGAGGTCAAGTTTGATAGATGTTTAAAACCTAACTGCTAGATGGTTTGGAGGGGAAGGGAGAAAATGAGGACAGGGAGAGGGGTGGGGAGAAGAGGGAGAAGACAAGGAGGCTGCCAGGGAGGACTGCAAACTGAGGGAATGGCATTCTATGCCAAGTGAATAGCATTAAGAGATCAAATCTAGCTCTAATTACTTCATTCCCTTTCTTTCCTTGAAAGTCAAGTTTCTTGAAATTGTAGTCTATATTCATTGCTTCAAGTCTTCACTATTTACTCACTCACCAGTCTAAATGCTGTCTGGCTTCCTGGCCACCCTTCTGTTTTCATCAGTCACCAGTGTCTTCCAGTTGCTACATGCAAGATAGGACTGTTAGTCTTCAGCTGACTTACATTCTGGAAGCATTTAATATTCTTGGCCATATATGCTATTGTCAAACTCTTCCTCACTTGTCTTCTGTAATGGCTCTCTCCTACTCCCTTCCTTTTCTGTAGCCACTCCCTCTCACTCTGCTTCATAACTTCCTTTCTTTCTCTTAAATGTTGGTGTGGCTTCTTCTTCAACCCAGGTAGCTTCTGCTTCAGAAACTTTCCCTTCTTAAGATTATCTCTTCCTATGTGGCCCTATCTATAGCCATGAACTCCAGCCATCAGTGTATCAGTATAAGAGAATGAATCCTCACCCATTTCCTACACCTTAGATTCTCTCCTGAGCTCCAGAAACACATTTTTCATCCCCATTTCTGATACAAATCCTAAATGCACTCATTATCTTACACACACACACACAAGCATAAACCTGTTATCCAACGATATTCTCCATCTCAGTGAAACTGCACCTCTATTCAAAAATCATCCAACCTAAAAACCAAGCTATGCTTTACTCTGGACTTCTGTCTGCCTCTCCATCATCCACTTCAGTCCCTGCCCCACTCCTATCTGTCAGTCAGCAAGTCTTTCATTCAGATTCTCTCTCCTACTATCTGAAAAATTCACCTTTCTCTAACCGACTCCCATGTCCTTGGTGTAGAAGACGGCCAAATCTCACCTAGTTTAATCACATACAGTAATGAGTCACAAGGACAGGAATACATTCTGAGAAATGCATTAAACAATTTTGTGGTTGTACAAACATCACAGGCTATACTTTCACAAACCTAGATGGTATATATATTTTTATTTATATACATATTTTTTCACATGGAAAACCAAATATCCCAGAACCAGCACTGAATATCAATCATTTCCCATACTTGATCTGCAATGTTCACATCAAGCACCATATTATCAGGTTTCTAATTATGCTCCACTATGATCTCATGGGACCAACATCTTTGGTCCACTGTTGACCAAAACGTTGTTTTGCAGTCTGTGACTAGCTTTTTAACAATTCTCCATCACTTCCTCTCTCACTCCTCCCCAGTGTATCCTCTACACAACTACCTAAGAGTTTTTCTAACTTTTAAATCTATATTAATCTCCTGCTTAAAATTCTTCACTTATATTCCTTTGCCTTAAATAATGATAGTAATATTTTCAGTTCCTGCTACTTCCTATTTGTCAAGAACTCCATAAGGTATATTTTATATATATTATATGAGAAAACTGGAAGTTACATCTATGTGAGCTGGCTTTACTCTGTCATATCTATTTCCTCCACACAAAAACAAATTCTTTAATATTTAAGATTATTTAGGATCTAATTCCTACCTACTTGTCAACCCTTAACTTACGCTACAGCCTCACATGCTAGTCTTCAACCACACAAAACCACTTTAATTCCTTCAATAGCAAATCCTTTGCCTGATCCCTTATTCATATAGTTCATTCTGCCCGAAATACCCACCTACTTTCACTCCCAAGTTCATACTTGTCCTTCACGGGTTAACTTAGCTGCCACATCTGGGTTAAATGAGCAAGTATTTTATAATCCTATAGTTCTCTGAATATTTCATTCTAACATGTACTATAATTACCTGTTTATCATCTCCTTCTTCTAATAGACTCTAAGTGTCTCTAAAACAAGGACAACAATTCTTGGAAGAAACACCCATATTAAGGCTATCCCCAGAATACTTAATAAAGGATGGTTATAAGAAATAATTTTCATTCAGGAAATAGCCAGTAGGCCAGTGTGATCAGCGTACTGGAGTCAAAAAGGGATGTGAGAAATAACACTGGAAGACTGGTTTGGGTAGATCAGGATCTTGAATGTAGACATAAAGATTTTTTTGCTATACTCAATGAGGATCCATTGGATGTTTTCAAACAGACAATGGACAAAATTCGATATGTGTTTTAAGAAAATAATGAATAGTAATTAGAGAAGAGGTGAGCAGCTAGAGACAAAGATAACGAGACAGTTTAGGATGGGTCCAGTGGCTCACGCCTGTAATCCCAGCACTTTGGTAGGAAGAGGCGGGAGAATCACTTGAGGTCAGGAGTTCGAGACCAGCCTGACCAACATGGTGAAACCCCTGTCTCTACTAAAAATACAAAAAAAATTAGCTGGATGTGGTGACAGGTGCCTGTAATCACAGCTACTTGGGAGGCTGAGGCAGGAGAATCACTTGAACCCAGGAGGCAGAGGTTGCAGTGAGCCGAGATCGCACCACTGCACTCCAGCCTGGGTGATGGAGCCACAGCAAGACTCTGTCTCAAACAAACAAACAAACAAACAAAAAACCCCCCAAAAAGGAGACAGTTTAAGAGGTCCAGAAAAAGTTGAAAAAATAGAGTTCATTTTTATATAAGCTGATTTCCATAAACTAGCAAATAACCATGTGTATATGCCTATCTTTTCTCATTGTTTCACATTCAAATTTTTCCAGATAAATCATTTTATTACACAATTTTTTTACCTCTATCAAAATAAGCATAATGTTGGAATTTGGGGTCTAAAGCTCAACAGTAGGTCAAATCTTAAAAGTTTCAAATTTGAAAGTTTCACGAGTAACCATGCAAGTGGTTGAGATATCCCAGGAAAGAATAGGGAAAGGCACTTTGGGAGGTCAAGGTGGGTGGATCACAAGGTCACGAGTTCAAGACCAGCTTGGCCAAGATGGTAAAAACCCGTCTCTACTAAAAATAAAAAATTAACTGGACATAGTGGCAGGTGCCTGTAATCCCAGCTACTCAGGAGGCTGACGCAGGGAATTGATTGAATCCGGGAGGCAGAGGTTGCAGTGAGTCGAGATCGTGCCATTGCACTCCAGCCTGGGGGACAGAGACTCCATCTCAAAAAAAAGAATGGGGAAAAGGTTGATGGTGGAAACTTGGCTACATTTACAAGCAAAGGAGAAGATGACATAGAAGGAGACCAGGAGTGGTTAGGGCAACAAGAACCAATAGAGTATAACATGGATTTAACTACAAACAGTGATGAAGTAGCCCAATCCACAATATATTCCCCAAGTGATTTAGACTTTAGTTCCTATCTGTGGTCACAGAAGCTGTTTACAGAATACCAAACAGGCTTCAGGAAGAAACTGCAATTTTAAAATGCCATCCTATATCCAAACACTCCACATTAAACTGTTTTTCTGATGCTCTGGCCTCATCTTTTAGTATAGAAGTATACTTCTGATTGTTTTATCTGTTGCTATTAGGAAAAGTTTTTTGTATCACTGGTAAATTTTTTGTTAATTGAGATTATAAAATTGCAGTAAACTACTCATCAAATTACTAATCTGATAGTTTTCTCTGATGACAATTTATCAGCATGGCAATTTTAATTAAACATGTTTTCCACAATGGTAAAAATTCAAGACCATATAGGACCTTTCCCCCACTTTTCAGATTGTTATCTTTAAACAGAGTGCTTGGAAATTTAGTAGTAATAAGTTTGTAAGAAAGAATCCTTCTCTATAAACTATCCTAACATGAAACACTAAGAAAAGCAAAAATTCCTTTAACTTGAAAGTTATTGAAACTTTTCTTTGACATAATGATTTGAGTAGGCCCTATAAAAATCCTTTGAAAGTATTAGAATCTAATAATCTTAAAAAATACATGTGTGGTATCCACAATTTCTGAGTTCTTATGCTAAAAAAAGAGACCGCACAGAAAGGATGTAACAATGGTATGGAAACTTACCATCCTCTCCAATTGGACTCTTTATTGCAGACTTATTGCTTCCATGTGATTTAAAAAAAAAAAAAAAAAAAAACTCGAATCTGTAAGCCAACCACATCCCTAAAATTTTTGGCACTCTTTTTAAGCACTGAATCCAAAGCAGGAGAAAAAAACAATAACTTTAAAAAAAATTATCACACAACTCTTATCAGACTCAGGATTTGTTTTTTCATTATGGAGGTATGTTGGAAATTAATAATAAAGGCTGATTTGCAATTCTTAAAAAAATTTACTCTATTTAAACCAGCCAAAATGTCATAAATTATTTGGTCTTAATATTTAAATAAATAATAGCTATGTTGAACATTACATTCTAGAATATATAATTTGGGGGATATTAAAATGGATGAGGTTAATACTTTTGTACACTAAAGGCTTTCTTAAAAAAATCTGTGGTTACATAAAGCTGAAGAATACAAGCATCAAATAAAATTAATTCATATAATTTTCTGAAACAATAAAATCTCTGCTTAAAATACACAATAAAAAGAACAATGAATTAGTTAAACTCTATAGTCATTGCACTTTTCTACAAATTAGGGTGCACAATTCATGACTCCCTAAAAGAAGCATTTTAAATTACAGTATGTGTCAAGTAAAACAAAAGAATGAAAAAGTTCCCATACCCTAAAGTGAGAACAGATGGGAATGTAAGATTAGATAAGAAGAGAGAGTGAAGCTTTAGATGACTGACCAAGAAATCTTCCCCAGAGCAGGGCCAAATATACCAGACCTCAGTTTGTTCTGCCTTCCAGGTAATTTCCAAATTAAATCCAATAGAAATATAAAGCACTTGGTAGATTAGATGCACTGTTTTTATTTTTATAATCATTTATTTCTCTCTATATATATGCTTTATGAAGAAACTTTAAATAAATAAGTTTGAAAAATATGTCTAATCAATATAAAGTAGTCTTCTAATCACTTCTGTGAGTTTACCATTATTTCAAATTAAGACTGTTAACAATAAATTTCTGTAAAATAGTAAAATAAATAGGCTTACAAAAAAAGTAGCATTCATGAAACAAACCTAAGATGTGGGCACTGAATTCCTTGCACAATGAAAGAGTCATCTGCCATAAACTAGAGTTTTGTAAATAAATTATGACTCCATCTTATATTTATTATTTTCATATTTGATCTGTACACTAAAATAAGCTTTAAACAGTAATGCCAATACTACTTCTTATAAAGAAGGTTCCTTTATTTGATATTTAATTTTATACAGCATAATACAATTTTTCTATCTAAAAATACCAATTATAAACTTAAAAGAATACTCTACATAGTGCTGTATTCTCTTCAATATTTTTTATTTTAATCTAGGTAGTAACTTAAACTTTGAATAAAACAGCATAGTTCATATTTTCAGGTGCTTTCAGATTTTAATGTATTTAAAAACAAGAATTCTACTATTAATATCCATTCTCTTAAAATACTTCAAAAGCAATTTTGTAGTATTAACCATGAGCTTTTAAAAAGCTACAGATATCCTCTATCAAAAAATCACCTGTGGAGCAAACTTTTTTTCATTTGCTTTGACATAAAACTTGCATTTGTTGAAACAACAATAACTTCATATTTTAATCAAAAGTACTCAAATTTATACATCATTCTCATCCACGATTTAAAACATCTTTTCCAAGACAACAATGAAAAAGTCGTCCGTGTACATTTTCTCTCCCGTCCCAGAAAGTTGGCTTTCAATATCTTAACCCTGTTTTATCTTTTTTAACCTTACAAAATATATCCCCCAAAAGAAATAGAGAAATATGAATCATCCTAAGTGGTGAAAGCAATTGCACCTTAAACTTAGGTGATTTCAGTTTAAACAACCCAAGGCACTGGTAATTTGATACAGGTTTCACTTATAATATGGAACAAGGCTTTCCATAGAGAGGAAGCTCAATACAGCATATTGCATAGTTGAACATTTGCATGAAAGATTTACTGAAAAGTATATTTTATTACTCAGATTACTCAAAATTATATGGAAAAATTATCAATGAAAAAGAAAAAAAAATTTCAAGTGTCCAGTTTTTTTTCTAATCTTCTTTATCATTAGATAAAAGCCGTAAGAGGCAAACATTTAGAGATATCATGCTCATTAAACTTTACTAAAATTCATCTTCTATACTTTCTATTTGTGCAAATCTGAATTAAGCAAAAACACTGTGTACATTTCAAATTTCTCATATTAATAAATCCAAACTCAAATTACCCAAAATATTAAATATAATTCCTCCATCAAATATTACACTATTGTCTTAAGTCATTCTGTGGTTAGCTGGTGAATAATTTTACCATGAACAACAGAACATTTTATAACAGGTCCAAAACTTCTATTATCATCCTCATGGAAGGCAGGGGATTTTGAATAAAGAGTGCATGTGCACACACTTAACATTTATTCAAGACTCCTGTCTAATCCCAGATATTCCACTGTCTTTATAAAATGGGTAAGTCACAAACACTAGAGATGACACTCATCTGTAAAAAGAATACAGTTGGTTTAGATCAATATTTCTCAGTCTATAGACTATGGACACCTGAGGATCTATGAACACATTCCTGGGAGTCTGAGAGAGTTACAAGATGTTTTGTTTTGGTGTTTTCATATTATTATATAAATATGATTATATTCTGATAATCTCACTGATAATTTTTGCAACTGATTATTATCACATAATTTCAGGATCTTATTTTGATATTAGGTTTATGATATTTTATGTTAGTTATAGTCACTATGTTTAATTCTTAATATACTATTTCTCAAACTGGGATTCACCAATGTATTCTTGGGGCGTGTGAGACATTTTTCCATTAACATAAGACCACATATTATTTAAGACCAAGAGACACTAGATTAGATTATCTTTCTAATTCCATTTCAGTCTAAAAAATGCTGTATTAAATTGTAGTCTACCAATAACTTACAGAGATCAAATTTTAAAAGCACACTTAGAGAAAGTAAACTTCACAAGAGGAGTTATAGTATCTAATTCCAACTATGTTCTACTTGTTTTCCTTTTTAATTATAGGCAAATGAAACTTTTGAGATATCAATAAGCAGTGAACAAAATACAACAAGGCTGTCAAAGTTTCAATTAGCAACACCCACTATCCTTTCAAATGGTTTAGTACACTACATATTAAGTGCAAGTCAGAAAATCCAGTTTCTTTTTCCAGTTTTGCCTCTGGCTTGAAATGATTGCCCTAATCTTTGTATTATGCTACTCAATGTATAAAATACACAATAAATACTAGATACTCATGTTATATAATAATAATCAGTATGTTTTAAATTTTAATTGATATAGTAACTAGGAAAACAACAAATCTACAAAACTCAAATATTTGCTTTTCTTATTATCAGTGACTATATATAAATTGTAAAAATAATTTTGTTTTTGAGACTATAATTATGGATTACTTTGATCTAGTTTTTAAAACATTTATGTTTAAATTTACAAATACTTGTAATTTTGCAATTAGCACTTAAGATATTTCATTGGCAAAAATCATTGTTTACTGATTAAACATCTAAAACTAAAAACTTACCAATATCCACACATCATAATTCTATAATAACATAGTAAGACATATACTCTTAAAGGAATTCGCTATTCGTGTATCTTAATAATTAAAACACCTTCACACCAGTAAAGAGAAGTAAAGTGTTTCCAAACTGCTAAGATATTCTGAATTTAAAATATATGCACCTTCCATTTCAAATATGGCCACTTAATTTTCAATTTAAAACTTAGGAAGAATGAAACTACCTTAAATTATCTTACACATGTCTATGATATAAATTTGAATACAGGTTTTAGGTAAAACTTGCCAGAAAGAGGTGTACAAAATTTTTTCCTGATATGCGGCATCCTAATGAGTTTTTTAAAAAAGATAATTTTTTAAACAATTACTAAAGCATTTCCAATACCAGAGCATAATTTGAATAACTAAAATAAATAATTTTTTAAATTACTTATTAACTTTAAATTATTGACTTTTGAGAGATTCATTTTTAGAACGTGCAGGCTGTGAAAAATCTAAGATCAATTTCACAATCAACCAATCCCATAACAACCTCAAGTCATATAAACAGAGAATGGGAATAGATACAAATTTAAAAGATTTTTCTTTTTCTGTTAACCTAGCAAATACAAGCAAAGTTAATTTAGAAGACTCCTTCCAAACTTTCTTCCCATAAAAAATTTTTCAGCTTTTACTATTTTAAGATATCTGTTCTAGAAGATTAATTAGACCATTAACTAACAAACAGAAAGTGTGGTCGGAATAAAAAATGAAAAAAAAAATTTACTTTTCACAGTATATGAAAGCATGCACTACATTTCCATAAAGTGTATGCTTTCATATATTGTGATAAGTAATTTATTTTCTTCTGGAATTGGCATATGCAATTGCACAAGCATTGAAATCAGTTTCAAGAATTACCCTACCTGAACTGTAGAGCTGATTTCCGATGCAAAGCCGCCTGTCAAGGGAGCCTCGTGACTGATTAGCAGTCGCCCTGTTTTGATCACAGACTGAAAGAGAAAAGGAAAACTTGATGTTAAAAAGAATATCTATTTTATGTATATGATGGTAGTTTTAATTCAGTAATAAAAGTAAATTATATACATTCAATAAATAGTGTAAAAATCAGTAATTAAATTGTATGCCAATAAGTTACAATTCGCTTTTGACAGGTCATCTGATTTTTGTACTGTAAAAATTTTTTCAATATGGTTTATAATCCCAGTAGAAAAGAAAAATGAGATTTGTAATTCTATATATGCAATTAAAAACGCATACCTATTATTGTAAGACACGTTTGCGTTATAAACTGAATTGCTGTATTTCATATTTCAATGTCAATATTTTTCTTCATGTTAAAGAGCGAAAGTTTTTTTTATTCATTTTGGGGCATGTTTGCTATAAATAAAAATAACCTTAAGAAATACTGTTATATGGAAAAGGAAAACACAAAAATAGTATGTGAAAGCTATAGCAAAGGAAAACTTTGTCAGTAAGAAATACCTGCAAAAGTAAATCCCCTCCGTTAATGTGCTCTAAAATCTGGTTGATGATCACACTCTATTTTAAGGGTAAAATGTCACAAACAATTAAATTAGTATGTATTCTCAATAGTTGTTCAATGTGGTTGTCCACACTGTGCATGATATACTCTGTACAATATTAAATAAAAAAGTATAGCAATGATATCATAGCAGGATGCCAGCTGTGCTGGCAGGTAAAAACTATTAAAATCAACAGCAGGTTATTGCTTAAAATATGTTGAAAAATTATCATAGTACCAAAGAGAAATGGCAGTTTTGTCTTTAGATTTCTAACAAGATCACCTTTAATAAAATCTGTTACTATTTCATAAATATAAAATGAAATCTTTCAAGCAAAAATATGTATTGAAATAAAAGATTTCATTCATTCTAGGCAATTATAGTTCAGAATCTACAAAGTATGCAGCAGTTTCAGTTAGCATATGTTAAACCCCAAGATATGGCCAGTAGCCACGACAAAAATAAGTTACCATATCTACTAGGTAAATAGTGACTGAAGAACATAAAATTTCATGAACACCTTAATGAACACCACTCACACTCCAGTGAAATGCTAACTTTAGGATATTTGTATTTGGCTTTCTATGACTGTGATTGATTATGCCATTTGTAAGAGTCACAAATTAAATTTCAACGTACAAAAACATAAAAAGACAAAAATATTCCACAATCACAAAACAACATATGTATTTTCAAAGTGTTTTCTAAAAGATGTCCTAACTTTAAGAATAAACAATGAAAAAAAACAAAAAAGATTTGACAATCAGATCATTCTTTTTTTTTTGAGATGGAGTTTCACTCTGTTGTTCAGGCTGGACTGCAGTGGCACCATGTCGGCTCACTGCAACCTCTGAATCAGACCATTCTTATAGCTCTGAAACTCAGAATTCGGCCAATATAAAAGTATCTAAGGATGACAGCCAAATCCATCCCAGCTATCTGGCACATCTTAAATTTTGAGCAGCTAGAAATTAGAAACTTCTATAAAAATGTTGTTACCCTAAATCCCTACACAACCAAATCGGTCCTTTTTGTCTGAGATCAGGCCTATCCAAAATCAAATGACAACCTTTAGAATAATCCCTGAAAGCAAACAAGCAACTAGGGCAGGTGGCCTATGTATCCTATACCCTATGCAGATGGCCACAGAGTAGACTGGTGATATCAAGCACAGATGACCAAGGATAAAAGCTTCCAACCTTTGAGGTTGATTCAACATGATTTGTAAGCAGATAAAATTTGGAGCCCTACTGAGTGCTCCTCAGCAGAGCAATGACTAAATAGACCGATATGCATCAGCATAGTAGAGTAATATGCAGCCATGAAAAAGACTCAGGACATGTAAAGAAACCCATGACAAATTAACTGGCAAAATGAGCAAGTTGTAGGACAATATAATCTTACGTTTTGTGAAAAACAACCATTACAGCAGTAAGCACACCAAGCAACATATCTTTTCAACAAGAACATCTAGCCAACATGTATACACAGTCCGGAAATCTTCATTCCAAAATATCAAAAATTGTTTTTCCCGAGCAATGCCAGTCAACGAAATGTAGGAAAGAGACTTTTACTTTTTGCTTTATGCATGTTTAGATCACTGACAGTATTCTAGTAAGTCTAAAATAAATAAAAATAAAGGGAAAGCCCTTGAATTAGTGCCAAAGATTTAAAAATACATGTTATTTTGTAGTTATAATCTTCTCAAAAAAACATAACAATGTTTTTGTGATATCTTAGGATTAGCTTCAGAAGCAAGGGAATCCCGAGATCCAAACTCCAGCAGCAAACAGGCACACTAACAATGCAGGGAGCCAGTCTTCCCATCCCACTCTGTGTGATCTGCTCCAGGTCAGGACCATATCCAGCTCATCACTTGGCCCTCAAAGCCGTGAGATACTCAACAAAATGAGCAATCAACTATTGGCATCAGACAAGTTCAAGTTCTTCAACACCTCTGCATGTGCATTACAAAAATTGTGTGTTCTCAGATGAGGAGTTATGCTGACAGATATGGAAATAATTCCAGAAATTTCTAAAACACCAAGAACTAGAGGAAAAATACAGTAAAAGTAATCACACTTTAAGTTTGTGGAAATTGCCACTTGTCTACAAACAAGTGGAACAAAAATAGTGTAGCAAGAAGAGAGGAGCCAGAAGTAACAATCACAATTATAAACAATGATTGTCACAGAAATTGTTATGTGCCAGGCTCTGAGCTGAGTATTTTACACTTAATTACTTCACTTAATTTGGAAAGCACTTAAGATTCATTTCTGCTTCTTAAAAATCATTGCCAATGTCTAAAAGTATTAAAATGTATTATGTCAAAATTCTGAAAATGCAAAAATTTAGAAGACTGATATTTTCAGACACATTCAATTAGCATATATTGAACTGTCTGGAAATAGTTCAATCATTTTGTGAGGTGTAGTAGAAATTTGTTATATGCTTTTTATCATTCACAATTTTAATTTGATACAATTCCTGAAGATTGCTTTTCTATACTGCTTTGAAAATTATTAACACAGTTAGTATAGCGAAAATGAGATCTTTATAAATCTATAAAACAAGAGAATGTTACTCTTTCTATTCTTTCTGTTTTAATTAGATATTCTGATTAAAGTACATATTTTTGTCCCCTTTAACAGGCTTTTAATGTTCACATATCTAGGCAAAATAATATGTAACTGTCAAGAAATTCCCCTAACCACATTTAGCATTTTGATGTACTTAGTAAAAATTAATAAAGTATATTTCCATGGAGACAGCCATTAACCTTTTAAAGATAAATAATTGCAAATAAAATACTAATAATTATTTTAAAAATATTTTCTTCCAAAGAAAATAAATTTTAAAGTTTTTAAATTTTCTTCTGAGATAAATTCATTTCATCACTTGAAACAAATTAAAAGTCTTTAAACAACTTTTCAGGGTGAAAGCTGAACCTATCAAAGCCAGGAAAGATTACGTAAGACTGGATTTGCAAGTATCTACTTCTCCAACTTTTTACCACTAAGTACTATTCCTGGATTCCAGCCTATGGCAGATGGAGCACCAATGAGTTATGGGTGACAAATGGCATCAGAGAGAGCTAAGCCAATTGAAGATCAGGACTCTGAATAACTCAGGACACTCCTTGTCCTCTGCTACAAAACAAAAGGACTTTGTTCCTTGCAAAGGAACAAAAGATTTGTTCTAAAAGATTCGTCAAAAAAGCATTAAAAACAGTCCTGAAAGGCTCGCAGTTTTCTCACCACTTCAGTCATTCTGTCCAACAGAGCATTAGTGCCACACTATCACAATAGGAGCAATCAGAATGCCAACCCTGTACACATGGCATTGCCAGAGGCAGATATATCAAGGCAACCCTGTTCTGCTGCAACCCTGACTTGTTTCTTGTTTGGCCACTCCATGACTTTTCCCCATTATCCATATTCTTTCTACCCAAACGTCTTTATGAATGGCCATAAATTAGCCTATGCAGAATGTCTAGCACAGTGCTCTGAACATTGTAGACACTCAAGAAAAGTTAATTAGATAAAAACTCTATTAAAACAAATTGTTTAACTTTATTATGCATGTCCTCTTTTAATTTATTTATGCTATTGCATTCTTAGCACAATCCATTTTTAAGGTAGTTCAGAAGTATATACTTGATCACATCCCAGAACAATTTAATTATGAAGTAGCAGGCTCCAAATTGATGATATTTTAATGTAGTTTTAACAATAAGATACTTGTGGTAATAAGAGAGCTGCTAAGTTATACTCGGTTAAAATGATTGCACAGACTTTGGCTGCCCAAACATTAGACATATGTTTTAGTGTATATAGCCTTTAAAGATTTTAACACAGTCCAACCAGGAAAACTGTTAAGTTGTCATTCTAGGAGAACTGATACAGATAGGCAAACCATAAAGTTTCCATATGCCTAAAAGTACAACACTGACATTTGAAAAGCAAAACGTTTATCATCTATCTATATTTTTTATTTTATTTTTTCCTCAAAATCTATAGCAAGATTGTTTCCATACAGATAATTCAACCTTACCTACACCAAGTACAGCAGCCTATTCTGTCTGCTGATAAGGTTAAAAAAAAAAAAAAAGCAATATTTTGGATAGGCAACTTATAGCCCTTTTAATATTTTCCATCTGAACATAAAGCTAATTGAAAGCAAAAGAAACACCAAAGCTGGTCTGTATCAGTTCCTTCTGAAATCAAGAGAACCTCATATATGTAATGCAAATGTGTAAGTATAACTAATGGTAAAATCATAGCACATATACTTCGTTAATCAAGAACATATTATTTATACAATTTAGAATCATTAAGGATAGGATATTGATGAACTTCAAGTATCAATGCAAATGAATTAGACGCATTTTTTGAGATGTCTTCTTGTTTTGTAGCCAAGAGCATGTAACAAGTTAGCCAGAAAAACCTCACAATTAATCACAGGTT